GAGTCTGTGCTGATGGCATGCCTGTCACCCTTTGGTTCTCATGCCCTGGAGCATAGGATAGTACTACAGTGACCCATGTTGCAGAAGGTAAGGTGGAGGATAAGAGAGATGGTGACTGTCTGAGGGTGGAGGAAATCCAAGAGTCCATTTCTGCTGTTTGAAGCCACCTAGTGTGTGATTCTTTGTACAGCACCAGCTAATAGACTTGCCTTCTCTCAACTGAACAGACAGCAGGAATAGGGAAGGCTCTTCCATACAGACTTACACAGCACTTATGCTGTTCATTCAAGCAGAACTGGGCCTGAGCCACCTCCAAGCTGCCTGCCAGAAGGGCCAGCATGCCATCCTCCTCACAGGCTCTAGGGACACGATCCCACCCTTCTGGCCTCTGTGGTATGTGGCCGTCCCTCTCATCTTATCCTGCTTGCCTCCTCCTGCTGGCTGTGTCCCTTCCTCTTCTAATAACTGTTAGTCAACCTGGAGAAAGTCCTAAATCCAAGATAAACTTATCTCAAAAGTCTTAACTAATTACATTTACACAGACCCAAGTCTAGATGAGGTCAGACACTTGAGGTTGTATGTGAATATGAATTGGGACCAGGCCCTACTCAGCTAGCTAGGTAGTTATCTTGATGACCCCCTGTGAGCCTTCAGTCTGTCTGTCAGAGAAACAGCACTCACTGCTGATCCCTCTCCTGCCTCACAGGGAGAGCCCCTAGCTTCCTAGAGCGGCCCTTGTGTCTCCTGCACAGCCACACAGGCCTTTCCCCAGTGGTGTTTACTCTATGAGTAGGCCACACCATCCTAGGGGTGGAGTGTGACTGTGTGTGGGACATGGAGTGAAGGGCATCCCGTTCCAATCCCTTTCAGAGAAGGAAGAGATGTGACAGACTAGGAGACGCCAGTGCTCCAAGTGTGGAGAGGCAGCCAGCTGGATCTCCAGAGAAGGACTGGCTTCCTGGGCTAGCTGCACTCCCCTGGACAAGCTCTTGGACATTTCTGGATGCCTCATTTGTGAGCATTACTAGCTCTGCAGGTCACCGTGGGGACTAAAGCAGGTGATGCACTTCAGGTGTAGGGTACCCAGGCTGTTGCCATCACCAGGTGAGGGCTATGGATGGCTGTAGTCACCCAGTGAGATGGGTGTGGAGACTTGAGGGCATCAAGAAATGGAATCTATAGTCACCCCACATAGCGCTAGGGCACCTCCATGCAGTAGACATTCAACAGAGGCTGGTCCAAAGAACCAGCAATAAGCAGGATCTAGTCCTCACAATCACCAGGCACTCTGGAGGCGGTGTCTCTCAGCTAAGCCAGCCTTCCACAGGCTGATCCCTGGGGCCCCACTGACCATAGTAGTGAAGGGATCAACATGCCTTCATATAGTTGTGGCTTAGCCATACAAGCTCTCCTCAGCCTTCCTACGCTCTGCTCACACAGGAAGCCACTCCCACATCCCTGCCCATGACCATTCCTAAACAATATGTAGTGCTATCCACTCTTGGAGCTTTAGGTTGGCAAACAGCCACCCAACCTCCATGGGACCACTGAAGGAAGGCACAAAATGGGCAACCCCTCCCCAACAGCTGCTCTCAGAGCTGTCCAGGTTACTGACCAGCGATTTGCACTAGCCTTCACTCCATGGGTACAGAACTTGCTCAAGCAGGGGAATGGGCTGACTCACCAGCTTGGTCTTTTCTACAACCTGTTCCAGCTGCTGCCAGATGAGTCTCCTTGTTATTCCATCAGCTGTCTCCAAAGCCCTTGCACAGAACATGCTGCCTCCCACAGCATCTCCCTGGGGTGCACCTAGACCTGTCTCCCATTTCTCAGCCCTTGCTACTCCTACCTGGCTTTCACTTTGTACATCTACAGTCTCCCCTGAAATAGACTTCACACAGGTGGGGACAGAATGCTGTGTTACTCGGGCATGACTTGCACACAGTGAGCTGTGCACACATCCAGGTACATCCTGTGACTGACATATGTTCACCCTGCAGTGGCACAGGCCCCCAGAAACTCTGGGTTCTGAGACACAGGAGACAAAGCTCATAGCAGAAGCAGAGACAGGGGCAGGGGCTAGGAAATAGGCACCCGTAGGTCCTGAAGCAGCAGAGAATGCTGGGTATAGAAATTATCTATTGGCCACACAAGATGAGTAGGGCCTCCAGAGATAGAAATCTGGCTGTGAGTGGGTGTCTCGGGAACAGGAAGGACACAAGCACCTAGGTTCCACATCGATGGCCTGAGTTGGCTTCTTGCCAAACCACCTTCTCTTCCCTCAGCCTGTTGACCACAGCTCACACCACTTCCAACCAGGCCCATCTGGGAGAAGGCTACAGGATAAGGAGTGGGCAAAGCAGGCTTCCTCAGGTGCCTCCCTCCCTGTTTGCTCCCACTGTCTCCTGACTCCGGTCTGCCATGGACTCCCTCATCTCTGAGGCTGGGAGTGGATTCCTCCTGACCCCATCTGAATCCCAAAGCCTTCAAGAACCAGACAAACCCCTGGGAGCTGGGGGGAGCTAAGTTCCAAACTTGACTCAATTTTTCCATCTGTAAACAGGAAAGTTACCAAAACAATAACAAACAAACAAGAACAAACAGTGAGACCCAGGGAGATTTACTTGTTTGTTCTGCAGAGCCAGGTTCATCTGGGACAGCCCACATGTCCTTAGCTGCACTAGTGTCTGGAACAGATCACACCTCAACCTCTAGATAAGGTGCATGTACTGACTGTGGGGGTCTCTGATATCAAGATGGAACCATGGTATTTCCGCCTAAAACAGGTGACACTGCCTTTGTTGGTCATGCAGGGACTCAACTCTCCTTACCTTTCTGTCACCATAGGACTGGAAGACAACCGTAGTTATTTGGGCAGAGGGTGGGGTCCTCTCCCAGGAGCCCAGTCTTAAAGGGGCTACACTGGCCATGAAAGCTTACAGAGAGGTCTATCAGACTTCTACGGACCGCTCAAGCTGGCAACATGTGGCTTGTGCACCATTCTATCTTTTGCACACACACTTGCTCACTGAAAGGGCACAGGGAAAGACACTGGGAACTCATGGCAGCAGAGAGGGGCCCTGACAACGGTGTAGACACGCATGGCCCTCAAGGAGACGCCTCTACTCACTGCCATCTAAGCTAGCGGATCAATGCTCACCAAAAGACATTGCACAGATTGGCCCAGTGGACTGCGTGGGCTGGGTACAGATCTGAGGACCACACAGACGCTATGTGTGGGTCACTTCGCAGTTAAACTGCCTGGATGCATAAGGACCGGTGCTGGGAAATGAGGTGTTTGGTGGGGCTGAGTAACAATGACTCCATGGTTGAGAAATACCTTGGGGCACTCCTGTAGCTAGAGGTCATGCTGCTGGACCCTGAATGTCCAACCTGGGAAGCCAGCGGGGCTGTGCTGCCATGGCCATGGGTCACTGCTGGAAAGGGAACTAAGAAGCTGCAGGACAAATGGCAGCATCACAGATGAGTCTGGTCCTTGAACAGACCAAGTTATTCCCAGAGTGCTCAGAGCTAGGGCCTGATTTAAGCTCTTCCCCTACCCGCTCTCTAGAAATAATTAAGGGGTAAGTGGTTCAAGAGGGGATTGAGTGGTGCTTCTGAAGCAGCTCAGAGCAAACAGTCCCCCAGAGAGGCTGGGGCACTTCCTGCTCTTTTCCCAGCCGAAGCACTCCTGTGGGAGCTGCCTAAACTCTAGTGGCTTCAAGCTCCTCTTAGACAGGTACTGAGCCCCTGGGTGGAAGGTGCAAGCCCATCAGAAACCAGGTGGGAGAAGCTGGGTGTGGTGGTGCACACCCCTAATCGCAGTACTCAGGAGGCAGAGGCAGGCAGATCTCTGTGAGTCTGAGGCCAGCCTGGTCTACAAGGTGAGTTCTAGGACAAACAGGGCTGTTACACAGAGAAACCCTGTGTCAAAATAAAAACAAATAATGCAGGTAGGGGTGGAAGCCTGAGGGCTGTGGCCTGTCCCCAACCCTACTTATTGAAGGTTCAGTATGATGCAACAACCAGAGGTCTATACACTGAGAAGCCAGTCAGATATAGGACCCAGTGGGTAACAGAAACAAGAGGCTTCAATATATCCAGAAATGCCAGAGCCAAGCCAAGAGATTGCTTCTAACGGGGCAGAGGCTCTGGGCCCTTGGCACTGAGGAAAATCTCCAGGGTTGGTGTGGGAGAAGGGTAGCTGTAGAAGGTTCTACAGAGCAGAATCAGCCAGTACCCCAACAGTGTGGGTGGTGGGCAGGTCTGACATCTGGCGTGGAAGTCTCAGGAACGAACAGCAGGGTTTGGGGGGTCTGTGTTCTCAGCTGATCAAACACTGAGGAGAGAGTCCAGGGGTGTTTCTCAGAGTTCCTGTCAGACCCTGGGAGCCCGGCCGTGTGCTCCTGCACAGCTTACCAGCCTCGTCTGCCTCACAGACATCTTAAATGAGGTGTGGGGACCAAATGTGTCTCCTCCAGTTCCTACAATGAAACCCCAACTCCCAGCCTGATGATCCATGGAGATGTGCATCTAGGATTTACTTAGATTTACGTGGAGTCACGTGAGTGGGATTGATACAGTTAGGAGTAGAAGAAAGACTACTGTCGCGTGTCCACCCCAATGTGAGGACATGTGAAACTCAGGAAGACAATTCCCATCAGAAACCCATCCTGCCCATCTTCCATCTAGGACACAGCCTCCAAAACAGTAAAGAAGAGTCCCTGGCATTTAAACCAAAGGACAGGATGCTTTGTGACAGCAGCCTGGACCGAGACCCCTAATAACAGCTGATCCAGGCGATGGGTAGTAAATGCAAAGAGGACAGTGGTGTTACGGGCGTGGGGAATATAGTTGTGGCAAGATAATCTGATCCCACAAGAACCCAGTGTGCAGCACTCCACACACACTAAGAGCAGCCCGCGCCCACGGGCAGTACCCAGCAGCGGAGGCTGGGATCCATGCAACTTAACCTGGCCCTGCTGCCTCTCTGGACTCACCTGTATCATGTACAGCTGGGCGATGCGGTATTCCTCCACGGTCAATGGCAGGGGGATCCGGTATTCCTTTATGATCATCTTGGAGTCCACGCCTTCCCGGCGGCAGGGAACTGCGTGCTTGTGGGGACTTCCTAGGCAAGATTCCTTAAATAACCATGACAGAATTCACTGAGGACCCTTGAGAGACAGACAGAGAGGATAGGAGAGTCACTTTTCTGCAATGTCTGGTGGACATGCTAACAAGAAAGTCGACGTCTAGACCTGAGACTAGAATTCTCATCTCAACCCTCTCAAGCCAACAGTGACCTGGAGCAAATTCCTAGCCTCTCTGGCCTGCTTTTCCCTGTTTGCTAAGCAATCTTCGAGAGCTACTGGAAGGACTAAGTGAGAGGCTGTGTGAACTCTCCCATCAACAGTCACCAGGAAGTGAAGGTTCAGCCCGCTGAACAGGTGACAGCGGTAGCCTTAGAGGTTCACTACTGTTAAGTAGAGGCTGAGCATAGGTCCCACAGATGGGGAGGGTGGGACAGGATCACACCAGGGATGGCAGTCAGGTTTCATGTGACCCCGGGCTGGTTAAGTGGTCTAGAGTAGCTCACGGTACCAATCTGTACATAAACATCACCATGGCTTTATAGCACGTGTGAGTCTCCACTGGCTGAGAAACCCTCAGATCAGTTAGTCGGATAGAAAGAGACCCTTCACAACACTTAGGGAGAGCCCTTAGAGATGGGCCAGAGCTGGCCCATATCAGCCTCAATGACTTCTTCACAGAAAGCAGGGCCATTAACCCAAAGCTCGTTGGGGGGGGAGCGCACAGACACACCAACTCAAGTTCCTATGTGAAGATCCTTTCAGCCAATCAGAGCCCATCTCTTTACATATCCAATGAAGCTGAAGACAAGGCCTGGAGACACAGGTGATCTCAGACCTGTGGGGTTCTCAGAGCCAGTTCTCATTGTACCAGAGTAAATACGATGACTCTGAGTAAGTCTCCTTTGGTCATTTGAATCATGGAACTCAGACACACTCTCTAGACAGCACAGTCTCAGCTGACTATTCTTTCAGGCTCTTAACCAGTGACGTACACAGTAGACCACCTGTTCTGGTTTCCTCACCTACCAAGCAAGGCTGCAGGCTTCCAGTCTAGGGTCAAATCAGGATCTGTGAGCTAGACAAAACATATTCCTTCAAGGTCTCAACCCCTCAAAGATGTCCAGGGATGAAATCTTATATTTTTGGTTGTGAGCCTAGCCTTTAACGGATGAGCTATCCCTCCAGCCCCCAGGATTGAAATCTTAGAGCCTGGCCACTTGTCTCTTGGCATCCAGAGGCTCCATGAGTACACATCTAAAACATGAACATGATGACACCCTCTCCAAAGACAAACTGCCACATGCAACCCGAGGACAGAGACTCAGCACAGACACTAAGGCTTCTGAGTGGCTCCCACAACCCAGGTGGAGCTGGGCTGTGAGCAAAGCTTAGTTATAAGAGTATTCTGAAGACTGTCAGACAATGAAGGCCAAGACTGCGACTTTATCCCAGGCGGTGTGAAGGACAGGGACTGTGCTCTGCTCACCCGGAACTATGGAGGCGAGCAGGGAGGCAGGCAGGGACTCAGACAGTAGGAAGGGACAAACAGCTCAGTACTGTTGCCACCAAGTGTTCAGTGACCAACAGCAACAGAGAGGACTCAGCTCCAGGAGTGACAAAATGTGACAGGAGAGCATAGTTTGTCACTCCCCGAGGGATCTAACTGCACAACTTAACATTGTTGTCCTAGTTGCGAGGCCCCGAGGACAAGCTGCTGTAGGGAGGGAAGAAAATAAACACAGAAACTTAGCATACGTGCTGTTTAAGTGACTGCATGAGACACAAGAGGAATTCTTCAACAGTAGAGAGGTGAAAAGTAAGTTAGCTTAGCTCAGGGGGAAATGGGGAAGAATATAGACATGGCTCATGTTTTTAAAAAGGTACATGAAATCATAAATAAACGGGCAAAACATAACATGGACAGCCAGAGACGATGTGGGTGGATCTGATGAGCTCACACAAAGTAACTGGAGAAGAGTAAGACAGAAATGCAGCTGTGAAAGCAACAGAGATGCTAACACATATGAGACTGGAGTGCACCTGGAGCATGACAGGAGAGCAGAACCAGGCACCTAAGCATTGAACTAGGCACTGAACACTTCCTTTTTAAATAAAATTTGTATGTATTGTGATGTGCACATGCGAAGCCCAAGGTCAATGCTAGGCGCCTTCCTCTATTACCTTCCATCTTATATTTTGAGACAGTGTATCTCATTGAACCAATTTTGGTTAGAGTAGCTGAACAGTGAGCCCTCCCAGTCTTCTTGCCTCTACCTACTTCCCCAGCACTAAAATACAGTCGCATGCAGTTACACCTGGCACTGGAGAATCTGAAATCAGGTCCTCATGCTTGCACACACTGACTCTTCTCTATAGCCTTCCAAGACTTCTTAAATGTAACAAGATAATAAATAACCTAAAAAAGGCCTAAGCCTACAGATTAGTTCATATTCTATGTTCTAGGAAAGATAAGCTGGTGTTACACATAATAGCAAGACACATTCTGAAAAATTCACTGATATTAAAGGATAGGGAAAAATATAAGTAGGAGGTGCAGAGAGATGAGTTGGGGAGAATCAGACTTCATAACAACACAGTTTTAGAAACCTGTGCAGCAATATCTGCAGAGCTCTAAAAGACAGAAATTAGGAACCAGAATATTATCCAGTTAAACAGTCATTTAGGTGTGATCAGTAAATACTCTAAATACGAATTTAGAGGTTTAGACATGGATAGCATCTTCTTTAAAAATATCATCTGGTACTAAAACCAAGAAACCCAAGATAAATCATGGTAAATTCATCCATGCAAAATCAAGATGTAAACAAAGTAATTTTGTAGCTTTGGCAATTATGGTTACTGAAGTATATGAAAACATCAACAATGTATAATAATACAATTAACAAAAACTGGGAGTGGAAGAATTAAGATAGAAATCTAACTGCCTCAACTCTCACAGCATAGAAGTTAGTTCATTACATAAAGAAATTAATGTGGGATGAATATCAAATACAGACAGTTAAACTGCTATATAATGGTGAGCACACCCTTACATATTTATCTAAACCCATAGAATACACAACCAAGGGCCCAATAATTAAGAACACTTACTTCTCTTACAGAGGACTTGAGGTTGATTCCTAGCATCTATGTCACACAGCTTTTAACAGCCTACAATTCCAGCTTCAGGGGGTCCTCTGGCCTCTGTGTGTCACACACACACACACACACACACTCACACACACACTTAAAAATAATGAAAATAAATCTTCAAAAAGAATACAAGCTGTGGACTCTGCGTGAATGGGTGTCAACTTATCAGCTGTGACAAAAGAACTACTTTGGGTGGTCAAGACTGCTCAGTGGGTGAAGCCTGATGACAACAGTGTTTGAGTCCCTGAAATCTGTGTAAAAGGAGAAGAGAACTAACTCCACCAGCTTGTCTCATACATGCGCTAAGGCACACCCACCCACCCACTGCACCATACGTATATCATACACAATAATAAATAGATATCTGGAAGGACCACTTTGGTGTAGAATTGGGAGATGTTGATGAGTGGCAAGGTCCTTACCAGGCCCTGCATTTTCCACTTAATTTCAATGAAGACTTAAAATTGCTTTAAAAATAGAGCTCACTATTTAAAAAGTCAACAACTCCAACTTTTAAAAAGTCCTTTTCTTGAAAGCAGATTAGACATTAGAGATCACGAGGGCAGAGGTACGAGGGTGTGGCAGTGGTGATGATGCAGGGTACTGGGAATGCTCTTAACACCCCGGAGTGGGGGCTGAGGGGTGGTTAAAACAGCAATTCTTCTTTGTCTACAAGGCTGCAGATGGAGCCTAGGGCCCGTGCCTGCTAAGTACGCATTCTACCACAGAGCTATAGCCCAGTCCCTTAAAATGGAAACTTTTATATTGTATATCCTCTATCATAATCTACAAATTCAAAATATAACGTACTAAGAACATCGAATTGCACATTTTAAATGCATTAATGGAATGGGTGTTTGAACTACATCTCAATAAAGCTTTTTTTTTTAAGTGTTTTTCCCTTAACCTTTTAGGGACTGTTAGTACAGTGAAGAAAATGTTTTCTGAAGTTTAGCAATTTTTTTCCATTTTATTTTAGATATATGCAAATAATGTGATGGTTAATCGTGGTTGTCAACAGGAGTCAACTAAAGCCCAAGCAATGGGGCACAACCTGAAGGGTTTTCATGATTGGATCATCTGAGGTGGGAAGACTCACCCGAAAATACACCCTAAGTATGGACTACATCTTCTGGTAGCATAAAAGGACATGGAAGAAGGAAGCTTTTGCTTTTTGCCTGTTTGCCCTCACTCTCGCTGGCAAGTTCATCTGTCCTGCTGCTGAGGCGTGCCTTCACTGGTATTAGAGCCTACTTCTGCTGTGGAATAATTCTTTTGTATACTGTGGATATGTATTACTCTCACTGACTAATAAAGAGCTGACTGGCTGAAGGCTAGGCAGGATTTTCAGGGCAGAGAGGACGCTGGGAAGAGGAAGGGCTGAGTCTCAGGAGTTGAAAGGGAGACGCAGATGAAGCAGGATCTGAACATGCTGTGCTGAGATAAGGTACCAAGAAATGTGGTAATAACACAGATAAAATATAGGCTAATTTAAGATGTAAAAGCTAGTTAGCAACAAGCCTAAGCCGCCAGCCAAGCATTTATCATTAGTAGTAAGTTTCTGTGTGGTTGTTTGGTAGCAGCTCACAGGACAGAGCCTACATATTTCTTCAGGATTCTTGTATACTGAAGACCAGCTGAGACATCCAGCCTCAAGGACTAAACAGCTACCAGATTCTTGGTTTTTCCCTTGGAAGACAGCCATTATTGGACTAGCTGGGCCACAGCCTGCAAGCCACTCTAACAAATCCCTTTTTAATATCGACTGATTCTATCAGTTCTGTTCCTCTAAAGAACCATACTACAGATGTGTCTTGGGTGTAATTCAAGTATATCTTAAATATGTGAGGTTATATGAATGTTAAAATAAAACTGATAAAATAAATATGATTTTTTTTCATGTGCGGGGATCAGACTAGCTTGCACAT